TGCTTCTAGCCAGGAGTGAGTGAGTGACTGTGTGTGTGTGTGTGTGTGTGTGTGTGTGTGTGTGTGTGTGTGTGTGTGTGTTGGGGGGGGAGGGGTAGATAGGGATGGGTACTAGAGCTTGAACACATGCCTGGGAACTATTGCTTTTTTTTTTTTTTTTTGCTCAAGGATGGTGCTCTACCACTTGAGCCACCGCTCCACTTTTGACTTTTTAGTTAATTGGAGATAGGAGTCTCATAGACTTTCCTGCCTGGCTGGCTTTGAAAAACAGTCTTCAGATCTCAGCCTTCTGAGTAGTAACAGATTACAGGCATGAGCTCTCTTTTTAATGAAAGGGACATACATGTTGATCATTTTGAATCTGAGAATCTGTAATCCAGAATAGTTCCAAATCTGAAACTTGTAATTTCCCCAAATTTCTCATTGGAGTATTCCAGATTTTAGACTTGATTAAGGACACTTAATTAGTGAAATTTGTGTCTACTTTCCATAAGTGGGAAAAGCTGAAATCTGAAACATTTTAGTTACAAGCCTTTGGTTAAAGAAAACTACATCTGTATTTATAATTATGATAAGCTAGGTTCTTTTCCCATAATAAATGAATATACTGGGCAAAACTTCAGTGTACATAGTCACTGTGCCTACATTTTATTTTTAATATAATATTTTATCGTTATTATAAAAGTGACTTACAGAGGGGTGACAGTTACCATAATTTAGGTGAAGAGTACGTTTCTGTGTGGACAATGTCACTCTTCCCTTGCTCTATCCCAGTTTAATGTAATTTTAAAAAATTACCTTTACGTAATTGTATAGACTGCTTTGAGTTGATGTTTCAATTGAACACGGCAGTTTATGAATGCTGTACATGTTGATTGGTGTCATTGCTCTCATTGTTCTCCACCATCTGTCTTAATCATCACATTCCGTCAAGTTCCCTGTGAACATGCCTTTTATATTCTTTTTTTTTTTTTTTTTTTGGTAGGTCGTGGGGCTTGAACTCTGGGCCTGGGCACTGTGCCTCAGCTCTTCAGCTCAAGGCAAGCCCTCTACCACTTGAGCCACAATGCCACTTCCAATGCCTTTTATATTCTTACAATTGCAATCCACAGCAGATGGTTTAGGAGGTGGAACTCAACCTTTGAGAACACTATGTAGCCTGCTAGAAATCATGGGTTTGTGAGCTGATTTTACTCTAGGAAACTGAGTGAGGGTCTCTGGTCTAGAATCTTTTGTAGCTTTTTTTTTTTTTCCCCAGGGATGAGGACTGAACCCAGGGCCTTGCGCTCGCCAGGCGGGCGCCTTTCCACTGAGCTAAACCCCCAGCTTCTGGTCTAGCTAGAATCTGTGTGGATTCTGTTCCTTGGGGGTCTGCTGGATGTTCTGAAAATGACTCCCCATCGACTCTGAGTATTTCAACCATTCATACAATGGACAGTCAACTGGCACTGATGGAAGTCCAGGATTTAAAACAAAGCCTCATGGCCGGGGCTGGTGGCTCTTACCTGTAATCCTGGCTACTCAGGAGGCCTACATCTGAGGATCATGGTTTGAAGCCAGCCCAGGCAAGAAAGTCTGTGAGATTTCTGTCTTCAATTAACCAGCAAAAAGGTGAAAGTGGAGGTGTGGCTCAAGTGGTAGAGTGCCACCCTTAGAAAAACCCAAGTAAGAGTGCAAGACCCCTATGTTCAAGCTCTAGTACTGGCACCAAAAACAACAACAACAACAACAACAAAACCCTATCACCTTGCAGCCTGTCAATGGAAGAGGGTCCACTGAGACTATGGTCCTGCATGCCAAGTGTGGGGTTGATGGCAGGGGCAGACGATTGGGCCTGCGGGGTCAGCACAGGATGGTCACAGTGATGAATAGAGTCAGCTGTCCACCTTGGATGATAGAGGACACAGGGAGAGTTGCCAGCACCAGGCCACTAAGCACATCTGCTCAGTCAGTTTGAGCTTTTCCTGTGATTGGCTGTTCTGAAAATCAGCAAGCATGTGGCCCTGAGAAACTGAGGCTGGGGCAGAGGTGCCTGGAATCCTGCGATGCTTCGTGGCTACCCTGTCCGTCAAGTCACCCCATGTCATGAGGGTATTAGAGACCTGATCACATGCCACACATGGTGTGCGGCAGACAAGAGTGTGTAGGGCCCTGATCACGCACAGCTGGCTGGAGCGAGTGGTCAGCCCTTAGAGGACTGGCTGGAGGTCCAGTTCTGAGGACTTAGTCCCTATATCCATAAACGTCGAGGATCTCCTGTCCACACAGCTGAGATCCTTGTAGAATCTGTCTATACCCCCATGCTTAGTGACCGTCATGACTTCGACCTGCACTGGCCAGTGGCCTCCTCCAAGGCTGAGTAGGCTGTGCACCGTGAATGTGGCACACCAACCAGCCCATTTTGGGTTGAGCTGGCCTATTGTATTATTGTCTACCGCTGTGTTACAGTTTACTGCACACGTTAATGACTTCATACAACAGCGAGCATCTGTTATATGTCCAGCCTTTTCTGTAGATCAGGAATTGGGGGTTGGTTCTGGCTTGGGGTCACCTAAAGGTCCTGCTGGGGCTGGAGCTTGCTTCCTAGATGGTACTCAGGTGACTAGCCGCTGCGTGCTGCCTCTGGGTGCTAGGCCTCAGGACCTTGTGGAATGGAAGCCTGGCCCAGGGCTGTTCCAGTGTTCTTGCAGAGGGGAGTCACCTTGTCCCTTCTGCCTTGCTTCAGTGTCAAACAGACCGGCCATAACTCAGTAGTTGTGGGAACTGTCTCCAAGCCTGAGCATGGCATGGTGTAGAGCAGATACTTGGCTGTGACTGCAGGATTCCCCACTTGCACCTCTGGTTCTCACTGGTTCGTGGGCTTTGACTTGGTCCTTCCTGCCATTCTCAGGCCAGAATGCCTGTGTCTGGATTTTAATATCATGGAAAAGTTGCCCCTACCTTTTTTTCCCAAGTGGAAGCCTATTTTGATTCTCAAATCCCTGTGTATTGTACGTGGTAGAGAATGAGGAATAAATATTTGCGTGGGTATGTAATCTAACAGTCCTTTGAAGCAGAGAGAGAGAGACAGAGAGAGAGAGAGACAGAGAGAGAAAGAAAAAGAGAGGGATGAAGAATGAGATCTTGCAAAGATAAAAATTTATTAGTAGCTACTGGAGTTTCCTAACTCTTAGACCCATGGCATATTTAACCTGTTTTATCCTCATTAGAACTCATTTAATCCTCGTGACTTCATCCACCTAAGACAGTGTGAGGACTCAGAGGAAAGTTTCCTGAATTCCAGGACTTCACCTCTCAACCAAACTATTTATTTATTTATTTGCCAGTCCTGGGGCTTGAACTCAGGGCCTGGGTGCTGCCCCTGAGCTTTCTTTTTGCTCAAGGCTAGCACTCTACCACTTGCACCACAGTGCCATTTCTGGCTTGTTCTGTGTATGAGGTATTGAGGAATTGAACCCAGGGCTTCATGCATGATAGGCAAGCACTCTATCACTAAGCCACATTCCCAGCCCCAAACTCTTATATTTTGAGGTGGCTGGGAACTTGAACTTTAACAGGGCCTGGGTTTAATGCCCTAGCTTTTGTGCTCAAAGCTGGTGCTCTACCATTCGAGCCACAATTCCATTTCTGGCTTTTTGTGGTTAATTGGAGATAAGAGTCTCATGAACTTTTCTGCCTGGATTGGCTTTGAACCTCAGTCCTTAGATCTCAGCCTCTTCAGTAGCTGGGATTACAGGTATGAGCCACCAGTGCCCAGCACCACCATAACACTTGAAATAGAAAGCCTGAGAGGTCCTGGAACCTGTACACAGATCCCAGACAGGAAGTCCTGCTCAAGTGTCCCTGCCTGTCTGCCAGAGTTGGGGGGAGTGAGGGAAGGTACCCACCCTCCCTTTGGGGCTCTCACAAGCAGCTGCGGTGGTTTTCTTGTGCAGTTGTTTCTTTCCCTAATGTTCACCCCTCCTGCCCTTGCACCCCACGGTGGCGGCTCTCAGGCCTTAGGGGCACAGCTGTGGTCTCTGGGACAGGGGGAGGGGCCTGTGAAATCTGCATTGGTTCCAGCCCCCACGTCTGCATTGTTAGGGTCTCCCATGACACAGAACTGGCTCAGTTCACACAATGACTCCTGTGGAAGGATTCTCTTGCAGGAATTTAGACATGAATTTATTCTGACAGTCCCTTCTTAGCTAGCCCGGAAGTGGATACAGCACAGAAATCAAGTGTGTGACCTGCTCATTCCTGTAAAGCCTGCAGTGGATCATTTAGTGGGCATTGTCTTTCCTCTCTTGTTTTTGTTTTTGGAACGAGTTCTCTTTTGTAGGCATGTGTGAATGCTTTTTACTACCTAAACTTACTGCCTTTTCTTCTTTAGGGATTCAATTTGCCTTGATGTGCCCCCTTGAAAAACAAATCATGACAAATTTTACACTTGGGCCAATTGAGTCATTGCCTCATTTTAATTTTAAAGAGTAGTGCCAACTTGTGTTTTTCACACTTAATTGAACACAGGGTCTCACACATGCTCTGATGCTCAGATAGACCCCTAGTCCTGTAATCCCTTGTCCTTTCATATTCTGTGTCCTTGGTCACCTACTGTTCCTGCCTTGTGTCCTAAGAGTACACCTATCCTTAGGAAGTCAAAGAGACTTTTGATTTTCCTCTTGGAATATATATATATGTATTTGCTGGTTCTAGGGCTTGAACTCAGGTCTGGGTGCTGTCCCTTAGAGCTTTTTCACTCAGGAATGGCACTCTACCATTTGAGTCACAGCTCCATTTTGGTTTTTTGGTGGTTAATTGAGATAAGAGTTTCTTTCTTGCTTGGACTGGCTTTTGAACCTTGATCCTCAGATCTCAGCCTCCTGAGTAGCTAGGTGGGAGCCACCAGTGCCCAGCTCCTTTTGGACTTTCTGAAGAAACAAGTGATTTTGGAGAGGTTGGATTGCTGCTGAGACTGCTTGACACACATTCATATTCTCCTTTTTTTTTTTCCCCCCCAGCCTGCAAATATTCCTGCCACAAGAAATGTGAAGGCCAGGTAAGTGGTGTATGGCTTTCCCGTGGGACTTCTTGCAGCCGGGCTGGCCTTGGTTGGGTGATATGTGGAGAAGGTTGGGGGAGGGGACTCTTGGATCCCAGCCACAGAAAGAGAATTGTTTGGAGAGATGGCTGGTGGGTACTGGCTTTCTCAGAATGCAGCGTATACTTTTCATTTGGAAAATAAACTGAAGATGTTTGTAACACATGTGTTTAATTATAGAAAATGATTCTTGAGAATTGGATTTCAGATAAGAATTTATAGTAGTTTTCTCCTGGCTGTGCCACCACTAGATCTTTCTCAGTGACAAGCGATCCCTGCTTTCTCCTTCCATTGGCACCTGGTCCGTAGACAGAGAGGAGACCCAGGGACCACGCTTGGCTTGGGAGACTGTGCTGCCTTGCTTTGAAGATAGTTGTGTCCAGAATGGTTGGCAATTTCAGCTGCCACAAAGATCCTGGAACCCTGGCATGAGGCTGGTTAGACTGATTTTGCATATCCTTAAGAGAGATTACATTTTGAGGGGCCCCAATGGCTATGGCCTTGCTGTGTCTTGCTGGATTTGGGGTGATGGGTAGGGAGCTGCAGGGGTGCTTGGGAAAGAGTTGGAAGTTTCCTCTTGCAGTGTCTGCACCTCTGGGTTCCCTAGCTGTATAATGGGGCTTCAGAGCTTCACTCCTGTTGATGGCCAGCAGTCTCTGGGGGCCTGGTTACTGGTTACTGTTACTGGAGCTGTAAACTGGGGAGATGAGGTTTTGGAGACTTGGGATTTTGTTCCTGTTAGAAAGCTTGTGGGTGGTCATCCCTCTAGGTTCCTAGCCTGTCCTTAGCTTCAGAGCTGAAGATTGGGCTAGAAGCAGAGTTCATGGTGCTATGGACCAGCTTGTGTTTTCCCTATGAGGACTAGCGGGGCCTATATTCTTCACTCACCATGGTGAGTACACCATGTGCACGTGCACATGTGCACACACACAGGCACACATATGTACTTATTCACATACATGTATACACATATACCCATGCACACACAAACCCATGTGTTCAAGATACGAGTTTTCTTGAAATGTCTACCAAGTTTCAGACTGGGCAGAAGCAGAGAGCAGGGGCCCCGGGCTGCTAGTATAGTTGCTCCCCAGCCCCAAACTAGCTGCCCCTCTTCCTGCCTGTTCCAACCCACCACCTGCCTCTCTCAGAAGCCCCGTGGTGCACTGTGTGGGTCTTGTGATGGTGGCAGGCAGTTCTGCTCTGCCTTCCCCCTACTCTGAAGAAGAGTTCCTCCTCCGGGGGCATCCACACACGGCAGAGGAAGCAGGTGCTGATGTCTGATCCTGGGGCGTGTTTTAGGTCTTTGGGTCACAGATGGCTCCTTGTTTCCTCTAGAGGATGGTGTGGCTGATGTGAATGACCCTCCTCCACCTTCATGTCATAGACTTGAAGAGGTTCCTCCCTCTCAGAGGACACAAATGCTCCCCTTACCCCGGAGCCTTCTCTTGACTATGGGCCCTGTCTTGTCACTGAAGTGGGTACGAGAGATGGGCTCCAGTGGCTTGGCCTGTCACCTTCCCTCCCCTGGCTGAGCTGTAGAAATGAGCCTTCCCCTTGTTTTTACCATTTCTGGCAGCTTGGGGGGGGGTGGTGGTATGGGAGGGAGATGTTGATTTCTTGGGTTCAAAGAAAATATTCCAAGAGTATCACTGATGATGGTATTTCTAACCACAGCAATTGGATAGATCAGCTTTTACTCCTATCAGCTCCTGCCAGGGAGAAATGTATCTGGATTCTTTTTTTTTTTTTTGATAATACAGCATTGAATAGCAGGAGAAAATGTCACCAGTAGCAACAAAGCACCTTCTTATTCTAAAACAATAATGCCTTCGTTGTTGGGGATATATGAGGGCTGTGAATTCTCAGTGGCCCCTGCATGGCTCAGATGTGGTGGGGTGGGGCTCCATGGCCCTGCAGGCAGCACAGTCCTGCGAGCATTGGAATGAGGTTTTCCTGCCAGCTTTGCTACACAGTGTATCATAAATCACACTTAGGTTTTGGGCTCTTTATGACTCCTTGTGGTGTATGGACTAGCAGGCAAGTCCCCTAAATTGAACACTATAGTCTTAGGTCTTTTTGTTTGACTTTTCTGCCAGTTCTGGAGCTTGAACTCAGGATCTGAGTGCTGTCCTCAAGCTTCTTTTTCACTCAAGTTGGTTTTCTACCATCGGAGTCACATTTCCAAATTCAATCATTCTTCCTCCCTCTCTCCCCCCATTAATTGGAGATAATAATCTTCTGGACTTACCTGCCTGCCTTTGAATCTTGATTCTCAGATCTCAGCCTCCTAAGTAGCTAAGTTTACAGGTGCGAGCTACTGATGCCAAGCAGATTAGGGTCTTCTGTTGGACCTGCACTCCCTGCTGCTGCCTGCCTGGGTGATGGTCTATGCTCTGTGAGGAATGCATACATCCCGAGGCATATGGTGGGCGAGGTAGACCTGAATACCCTGACAATCACCTGTTATGTGAGGACCACCAGCACAGGCTCCCATCCAGTCCTGCAGGTTTTGGTAGTAATGAGGACTTGGAGAGATTGTTCTGCAAAGAGCATTGCGTAGCTGGTGGGGGCTCAGCAGGGAGACCCAGACACACTAGAAGCTCTGCTGGACCAAAGGTCCATTCATTAGCCATTGGGTCTGCTGCTCCTCAGGGCAGACTGTGGGTTCAACGGGCAGCTAGAGGCAGGGACTTGGAAATTTGATCTCCTTGGTGCATTTTGGCTGAAGGTGATTCAGCCCACTTGCTGTGCTCTGAATGTTCTGCATATCTTTGAGTTCTTGTGTATGTGCTTGTGCGCGTGCATACACATACATTGCATGCATTGAACTCAGGCCTGAGTGCTGACCCTTAACTTTTTTATTCAAGGCTAGCACTCTACCATGTGAGTAACATCGCCCCTTATGATTTATTTTAGTTGCTAAGTAGACAGAAGGTTCTCTCACATTTGTCTCTCTGTGCTGGCTCTGAACCTTGATCTTCAGATGTCAGCCTCCTAAGAAGTTAAGATTACAAATCTGAGTATCCGTGCCACCTGCTGAAGTTCATATTTTGAAACCCTATCCCCAAAGGGTTGTAATTAGGAGGTGTTGCCTCTAGGAGGTGATTAGGCCATGTGGCTGGGTCCCTTGTGAACGGAATTAGTGCCCTCATAAAAGAGGCTCCAGAGAGTTTCCTTGTCTGTCATTTACATCATTGAACAGACACAGTGAGAAGGTACCATGTGTGAACCAGAGCGCAGGTTCCCATCCAGCACCAAATATACTGGTGTCTTTTTTTTTTTTTTTGGGTGGGCCATGGGCTTGGGTGCTGCCCCTCAGTTCTTAAGCTCAAGGCGAGCGCTATACTGCATGAGCCACAGTGCTACTTCTGCTTTTCTAGTGGTTTATTGGAGGTAAGAGTTTCACAGACTTTTCCTGCCTGGGCTGGCTTTGAACCGCGATCCTCAGATCTCAGCCTCCTGAGAAGCTAAGATTACAGGTGTGAGCCCCTGGCGCCGGCTAATACTGGTATCTTAATCTCAGGATGTTCAGCCTCTAGATCTCATCTACTTAGAATTTAGCCTCCCAGGCTAAGCTATTTCATTAAGACAGCCTATATGGACTAATATAGGCCTCGTTCTTCAGTGTGAACTAGTGACAGTACTCTATATAATACACATAAAAGTACTCTTTTTGAGGGTTAGGGATTTAGCTCAGTGGAAGAGCACTTCCCTGGCAAGTATAAGGTCTTGAGTTCCATCCTCAGCTCTGAGGAAAAAAAAAAAGAAAAGAAAAGAAAAGAAAGAAAGAGCTCTTTTCTCAGTTGTGGATTGGGATAATACTGTGTAAATTCTGGGGGAAGTGCAGTGATCTATGAACATTTGAGAACCTCAAGTGCTTCCTGGAATGCTGGGTGTGTCCAGTTGAACACAGGAGCTGCTTAAGTTATGTGACCTGATGTCTTCCTGCCATTGGTTGACTAATTGACAGAAGGGATAAAAGACCTAAGAGGGATGGGAATGTAGCTTAGTGGTAGAATGCTTGTCTACCATCTATGAAGCCCTGGGTTCTATTCCTCAGTACCACATAAACAGAAAAAGCCAGAAGGAGTGCTGTGGCTCAAGTGGTAGAGTGCTAGCCTTGAGCAAAAAGCTCAGGGATAGTGCCAGGTCCTGAGTTCACACCCTAGGACTGGCCAAAAAAAAAAAAAAAAAGGAAAAATACAGCAGGTTTTGGGAAGATGTTGGTAAGGAAGAAAGGAGGAAAAGGAGGTATGGGGATTTCTGGGATTGCCCCCAAAAGTGGCCTGAGTATATTTAACCCTGTGGATGCCCTGGGCATTGTCTCCCTTCATTTTCACACAGATATTGACACCCTTGCCCTTTAGAAGTGCTCCCCCCTTTTTTTTTCAGTCTAAGATGTCTGAGTTAGCTAAGCTAGGGTCAAATACGTATGTATGTATATATATATATATATATATATATACATATGCATATATGATTGTTAGCTTATATGGCAGATTTCAAAGTAATATGTAGTTGCTTGCCTGAAAGCATTTTAGGATTGAGGTGCAGTGTAGCATGTGTTAGAAGCTTCTGTTCCAGGAGATTCCTAGTGAAGCTAGTGTCTTCCTTCTAAGAAGCACAGATTTCTCACTATTCTTGTAAGCTTGTGGCCAGACTGGCAAGAATGTGTCATCTTGTGTAGTTACCAATGTAAATGTCACTTTGTGGTCACGTTTGTTCTTTAGGATGGCTTAGGTTGAAACTGTGTTTGTTTAGGATTTACTAACCCCACCCCAACAAATGGCCAAAGGGGATGACAGCTATCGCCCCACACAGTGACTGCATCTGTGACAGTGGCCGTGGGTGGCATCATGCAGTGGTGACGTGGCAGCCCTAAATTATGGGAGCACACTGCCTGGTATTCTCACACTGACAAAGCCGGGAGCTTACAGTTCTCAGAATGCATCTCC